TGATGAAATGCTGGGTTGGCTGAGACCACGAGCAGTTCTGTCTTAGCAAGGTTGAGTTGAAGGTGATGATCCTTCATCTAGCTAGAAATGTCTGTCAGACAGGCTGCAATGTAAACAGCTACCATCGGATCATCTGGTTGGAATGAGAAGTAGAGTTGAGTGTCATCAGCATAGCAGTGATAAGAAAAGCCATGCTTCTGAATGACGTATCCTAATGATGACATATAGATGGAGAAAAAAAGTGGTCCAAGCCACTTGCAGAGAAGGAGGAGAGAAGTGACTGATATACACTAAGGTCAGTAGAGTTTTTTAAATTTGTGCCACTTCCTCTCAACAGCCCTGAGTCTAGAGCGATGTTCCCGGAAAACATCAGACAGCCAGGCGGCAGAGGAGGCGGTGCGTGCTGGTCTGGATGAAAGGGGGCAAAAGTTGTCTAAGCAAGATGTTAGAGTGGAGCAGAGAGTGTCAGTAGCAGTGTGTGTGTCCAGTGCTGAGAACTGAGAGGGTGGAGGAAGTGAGGATGAAACCATAGAGGATAGGCGAGAGGGAGAGAGCGAGCGTAGGTTACGCCGAAAGGTGACCTGCGGAGGAGTGTGCGTCGTGTCCGGAGTCAGTGTGAGCTTAGAAGTGATGAGGAAGTGATCTGAGGTGTGCAACGGCGTAACTAAAGTGTTGTCCGTTGAGCAGTAGCGTGTGTAGATAAGGTCCAACTGGTTACCTGATTTGTGAGTAGCTGCAGCAACGACAACCGTGCTAAAATCTAATGAGAAAAGATACAAAACACTAACAGACTGCTGTCCTCTTCTGCTGCTCGACTGCTTCTACTTCTGATCCATTTAACAAGTTGCAGCAACTGATTATGTCCCGTTACTTGTGTTTCAAGCATGAATAAGTGCGAGAATGTTCTGATTGTGAATGTTCAGATGAATGTCAGTGATGGAGCAAGCTAAACATGAGGAAACAGAACATGAGGGTTTATTCTGGTAAATACGAAGCATATAAATAGATTAATTGGGCGGCACACGCGTGTTATTACAGTGTGTGCGGTGAAAGCGAGCCGATGGTGAGTGTGTGCCGTTACGCACCTCTTTGGCTCTCTGGACGGCATCGCTGGCCGGATTCCTGATCTGGGGCGACGAGCGGGTGTTAATCTTATCGTAGAGCTGAAACACACACAGTTCAGTTCATCAGTGAGACCATCAGCTGAACGCATGTATCTCATGATCTACAGACACACACTCGTATGTCTATATCAGTCAATCTCTCTCACAGAATGAACTACATTTGAACAGAAGCTCAATCACATTTTCTCACAGTTTGTTGCTAAACTGTGTCACTCCTCAGAACAAACAACATTTGCCTGATTTTACTTTTACTCATGTTTTTTCTCATAAACATGCATGTGTACATACACAAACGCACACACACACACACGTTTGTGCCGACATCAACTTCAACAGCAGTGAATCCTCCTTCCTCGGTATTTATCTTGTTTTCCAGTGCAAATGTCTAAAGATTATTGAATCAAGATACATTTACTTGATATAAGTGATGAGCTAAATGACTTAAAATAAGAAGTCTTGTTTTGATTGATCATGAAATTGATCAAAATGAAGTTTTTATCATTAAATCAAGAACAAATATCTGCTAATGGAGTCAGAAAAATTTAATTCAAAAGGAAAAACAAGTTTTCATTCCCCACTGACAGATATCTGTTCTTGTTTTAAAGAATACATTCTCTTCATTTTGATCACTTTCTCAGAAAACAAGACTTCATGTGTTTAATTTGCATTTAGGATGTTTAGATATTTGTACTGGAAAACAAGACAAAAAAATAGTACAAAATAGTAAAATAATATAATAATAAAAAAAAATTTGATGCCATGACTAAGACTTAATACTCTGATTTAAGACCTTTTTAGGCCTTCATTTGTGGAAGGAAACATGAGAACGATCATCATGTGCATGATTTTACTTGTTTTTCCTCCGAACATGCATGTGCACACACACACACACACACACACACACACACACACACACGTGTTCGTGCCGAGATCAGCACCCTGATGAACTTTAACAGCAGTGAATCGTGGTCACATTCAGCATGCAAACACAGCGTACAGAAACACTGATGCAGCTCATCACTGTCAGTCTGGGAACCGGCTTGGTTTTTACAGACAGTGATGATGATGATGATGATGATGATGATTGGAAAATAAAGACGAGTCGTCAGCTGCTCAGCAGGACGGCTAACATTTGAAGACGACACATATGACTGGCGTCTAGACAGTGGGCAGAATGTGTGTCACTGCAGGACCGCTAACAACATCCATGTCAGTCTGAAACACACGCCGCTGCCAATTTACTTACTTTAATTAAACAGATTATTAATAAGTAAACAGACTGATGCATCCACAGATGCTGCATGAGCTCATGAAACTGTGTTGATGTTGTTCTGTTGTGTGATTTCCACTCTTCATTTCAAAGCTTTAATAGATTTACATTAATGTCATTAATAATAAAATCTATCGTTAATCTGTTGAACACACAGGAAGTGATTTCTTCTGTTTGCCGTCCACGTTTACACAAATCTGCAGCAGAAACAGTCGAGCTACAGAGGAACAAACCAAACGTCCATCTGTGTCTCAGTCCTTCAGTGATGTGAGGAATGAAAGCAAACCCTGATGACACAACACTCTGCGTGTGTGTGTGTGCGTGTACAGTATAAATACCGTGTGTGTGTAAATATGTGTGTAAGTGAGTGTGTGTACAGGTTTATATGGTTTACGAGGACGCAAATGTGTATAATGACAAGAGTATTACAATGTGAATATGGTTTATGAGGTTTACACTTCCTTTGTCCCCGTAAACCAAAAGGCTTAAAAAAAACAAAAAAACATTCTAAACTGTTTTTTGAAATTCAAAAATGCCTGTAGTTGTGTGTGAGGGGTAGGTTTAGGGTAAGAGGATAACTGCAGTCGGTCAGCGCATGGATCTCCTCCAGACTGTCCAGAACCTGAGACACGGCCCCTAAACACACACACACACACACATCAGCTCACTGCCCAAGATCTGTGCACATGCACGAATACAGAATCAGACACGTCAGAGAAGCTCCTGGAGCTCAACACATGGAGACGAGCATCACAGATCATCACAAACAGACATTATTCACATTAGTGCAGGAAATGAGAGGAATCGTGCATTCTGATCGTTTGAGTCGTGTTTGATCGTGTGCTTCAGTGATGGAGGAACATGCAAGACAACAGACCATGAAGATAAAGATGTGGATGCTGTTTGGATGGCAAGCAAAGGCTACGTGGGATACCTACTTTCTGCAGCAAGCAATCCTAAAGTACAGGCAGCGTTAAAAACAACAACAGCACAGTGAGATCATTGGAAGAGACACAAACACAGAACCAGAAGACACTAGGATTAGCATACTAGCATTTTGCAGTATACAGCATGTGTACTGCAGTACTCAACAGAGCATACTGCATCACTGTATCCCACAATGCAATGCACTGCACATGAGCCTCCACCATCTCTAAACACATCTGACCAGACATTTCTACACAAAACTGAATCAACAATCGTAATAACGGAATCCGAATTAAACATGTAGTGCAATGTTACGATGTAGCATACTAAAGTTTTTTTGTGGAATAATGCCTTGAGTTTCACTCACTGTAATTCTGAAGTAGTATGCAGTGTGCTCAGAGCGAGAGCTCCAACTTTATGCTTCATGGCCAGTAGTAGTAGTATATATTTTTTTATTTAATGCCATGTCAGCATCTTATGCTATTTTCATGGCAAAAACTATAAAAAAATACAAGTATAACAAATACAATAAAAAACAACAAACAAGTTATATTACACAATAATTTTTACATTGACATAATACAGTAGGTCTGATCTCTGAGGGAGGAATTTGACATTTGTTTTGCTTCATGGGCAGAATTTCAGAGTCAGTTGATATAAATTTTTCAATATATGTCTGTATTTACTGAAATGGTGACTTGAGTCTGATGTTTTTGAATGTGACTCAGTTTTACACACGGTTAGCCGTTCTGTTTGGCTTTTCTCCGACCGCTGCGGAGTCAGAGAAGCAGAGAGCGGAGGACGACAGCACCCGCAACATTACAGGAAGTGAGAGTTTAATTTTGCGACAGAGAAGTGGCAGCTGTTTCTCAATACAAGACCAGAGACTTCCTCTCCATGGGACCTGCTGATGGGGCCGCGAAATAATCTTCACATTAGCAGAACCAGAAGACACATCTGGAGGAACAGATGAGAGCGGCACTTTCTACTTCCTACGACTCTGAAAACACTGCAGTGAAAGTTGCACTGCAAATTTAAGACCTTTTTAAAGAGTTGCACAAATTAATACTGAATGCCAGAGGTGGGACAAAGTCATTGTTTTGCAAGTCACAAGTAAGTCTCGAGTCTTTGCATTCAAGTCCCGAGTCAAGACAGACAAGTACAAGTCGAGTTGCAAGTCCTCAGCTTTAAGATTCAAATCTTAAACAAGTCATTAGTGCTTTTTGCCAAAATTAGTGTCTCAGTATTAATTACCATATCAAATTCATAGTAATTTATATCAGGAAGGCAGGTAGAATAT